GGAATGACTGCTCTTTCCCCTCGCTGAGCTTTGTGGCTGGGCTGTGTCGCTCTCTGATAGATTCCAGGGTGATCTCATGACATTAATCTAAACAGTTCCTGCTGGTGGCTCGGTAAGGAATTACGGGTCTCTGTCATGGGAGCTGCATTTGCAGTGCTCAGGAGCTGCACAGAATTCAAGAGCCAGAAGTTCTCCGCACAAACCATAGCAAATGCGTGAGGGAGGAGAAACGCTGTGAGTAATTGCTGGTTTGCTAACTGTGCCTGACTAGAATGAATTCAAATATATAGTGTGAATTTTACTGCAAGGAAATAGGCCTACTTTATATAGTTTATTTTTTAAAATCACTTCAGTAATACAAGCATTTGTACAGTTGGACAGTGCTCTCCACCCAGTTTTTTTACTGCACTTAACTGTCTTTGCACGCTGGAGATTCTGAGATATCTAACACTTCAAGCACTTCATTTTTCTTGTAACTGTCTGAACTTCATGTTGAAGTCAATAGTTTTGTAGCTTGTCCCTTCCAATCAATGTATTTATATTATGCAAAAGCCTTCTCAGCTGTATGACTTTCAGCAATAGGACATTACCAAATTGTTGCTAGCTGAAGTGTTGCTTGATATTCCAGAGTTGACGCGTCACACAGACATAGTTTTTTGGTACGTGATTAAGTGGCAATGTATTGAGAGGTGGATGACTTTTATAAGAAAAATAAGTATGATTTGATGCTGAATGATATCCTTTCGTAAGTCATTGTAACACACTGGTATTTAGTATGTTCTCATTGTATTACGCAGTAATTAATTGTTCGTCTTTTGGTCTTAAAGGTTAAAACTGCAGGTTAAAAGTAAACTGTAGTTATCTTTCTGATAATATATGTGAAAAATTCAGGGACTTCTGTAGCTACAAGATAAATACACATTTATGTCAAGACTGATCATCTTGTAACATAGCATGTGCATCTAGAGAAGCAGTTGCAGCTCAGATCAGTAAACAAAAAGGTTGTAAACTGGTTTTACTAATGAAGGTAAAACAGCACTATGTGCATGATTTGCACCTGCCTTTGCAGGTTTGCTCCATCTGTGCTACTGTAGCAGCTTTTCTGCTCTTACACCATAGATGGCCAAGCCGAACGTTGCTCACACGTGGTGCAGATGCAGTGTACTAAGAATTTGGGTTTTCTTCAGTCTATATGGCATTCAGTAATGCTGTTTTCTGTCTGTGGGTACTGAAGTAAGGTGAGTTTGGGAGAGAAGGTAGAGGTTTGATAGCTAAGCTAGCATGGGATATGATTAAGGGATATGAATAAAATATGATAAAAAGGTAAGAAAGGTAAGAGGTATGTTAGTGTGAGTCTTCTGGTATTCTCAACTGTATGAGGATTTGGGCCATGGACCTTGTTAGGTCAACAGGCTTTGCTGTCCTCTTCTGTGCAAACTGTAATTCTGTCTCTGAATTGGCTAAACGTGCTGTGCTGAGTTCACTAAGAATCTGTTACTGAGGTTTTATGTCTTTTACTGCTTTTTGGTATTTTTGGTATTTTGTGCTGTAATGAAGAGTTACATAACATAAATGTAGGAACAAATTATGTGGTTTTAAAACAACCTTTTGTTTCTATTTTCCATTCTTTCAATCTTCATCTTTGTCTTGTCTTAATTGGCTTTAGTCTGATTTCATTCCTCCTATCATGCCTGTCGTGGAGTCAGTAGATCCTGCATCATGGAGGCAGGGCTTGCGCAAAACTGGCATTGTTCTTGTGCCCAATAAGGGTGAAAAATCTATGGTGAGGTTCTGGTGTGCACAGGTTTGTGTACAGGTTGCAAAATAACATTTAATCAAAATGTTGATACTGGCTTTGCATGTTTCTAAGTTTGCATCTCATGATCACAGTGTGTATTGCAAAGTGTGGGTTTTTCTAAGCTAACTTTCAGAGGAGTAGTCTATCTTGACCAGTCTTACATTTCTTATTTCATTAACTAATTTAAGAGAAGAGTGTGTAGGTTTTCTCTCACCACAATTCCGTACAAATTCAACACTTCTATGATTATTAAAACCAGTTGTGTTCTCAAATCTCCGCAAGGAGCGTGAATTACCACAGGTAAAGTAAATTAGTAACGTAAATTCCTTTACGTGTGTTTTATAGTTTCCAACATCGACAACCAAGGTTTCTCCCAAAGAAGAAGAGAGGAAAGATGAATCTCCTGCTTCGTGGAGGTTAGGTCTTAGAAAAACTGGTAGTTATGGTGCGCTTGCAGAGATTACTGCTTCCAAAGAAGCTCAGAAAGAAAAGGACTCTGCAGGTGTCATGCGTTCTGCTTCAAGTCCTAGACTTTCCTCTTCATTGGACAACAAAGAAAAGGTAATAGTTAATAATATTAATAGTAATAAATAACATTCTGAGGAGCTGATCTACCTTACTTAGTATAAATGTTTATGATGCAGAAGTAAGACATTCTCTGTGGACTGTACTATACATCTGGTTTTCACCAAAATTCCAAAAAGTTGAATTATGCAGCTTCTGCGTAGTCTCTTTAAAAGTGTGGTATGCACCTTCACTGTCTCGTGATGTGGTACGTGGGTCTGGGGCTTCTCCCTTTTTGGGACCTACAGTGCTGGTAGTAGTTTTTACAGTTAAGAGAGATCAGAGGTTTGATAGTTTCGGCATCACTTGGAGTGTGATGTTGAAAGAATCTGATAAAAAAGGAGTCGCTTCTTTTATTCCATAGTCATTTTTGATTTAGAAAAATAGTTCTGTAATTAAACATGAGTACACTGAACCAAGTGAAGGACTAATTTGGAACAGGTAACTGAACAGCACAGAACTTGTGTTTCTGTTTCAAATACAAATTTTTAAATGTTTTCAGGATTAGGAGTAATGCTGTACCATACTATACAAAAATACTAAACCGGTTACTTTCAGTAATCAGTGTTGGAAATTGTACTGCAGCAAAGCAGAAAAAAGAGAAATCAAGTCATTTGCATCACTAGAATGAAAACATGAACAGTTTCCTTTTCCTGCTGTAGTCCTTATGGTATTTAACTAAAGCTGAAAACTCATTTTGTGTAATCAGGTCACAATAAATACATCTGAAGTTGTCATAATGATGATTTTCCAGCCAATAGCAGTATAATCAAGAATAGTAACACTTAATAAAAATGCATGTCTTTCAGGAGAAAGATGGAAAAGGAACTAGACTTGCGTATGTTGCACCTACAATACCAAGACGACTGGCCAGTACCTCTGACATTGATGAAAAAGAAAACAGGTGACTCTGAAGTTATAATTTGTGTTAAATATAAAAGTACTTTATTGTAGACTGGCTGACAAACTCACAGATTTTAAGACAATACTAATTAATAGTATTATGCTGCTCTATAGATTATGCTAATGCATAGGGTAATCCAATCCCTGAAGGTTTTTAATCTTATAAATTATAATGACCCTTTTAAAAATCCACATTACTATATAACAAGAGCAGAACTGGGCAATTCCAAAATACGAATTTGTGAACTTTAAGCTACTGAAGGGCGCTAAAGGCATTTTAATGCTTTGTTATGATCCAGTGAGCGGTGCTGCTGGGCTCTGTTATTACTTTTGATAATTATAAAATGCTGTGTTTCTTACAGTTACTGCTTAAAACCATATCATGCAGCAGGAGCAATGATTTACAAAAATTAATAAGTTACAAAAGCAGTTCTTCCATTTTTCTTGTTTACATGCTGACTTCTCATCTTCTTTTGGAGAGTTTTACTTTCTTTGTTGATACTTCTTCTGTAGCTTTCAGTATAAAAGAAAGAAAAAGTTCAGGTGCATAGGCTTGTTACCTGTTAGGATTTGAGGTACTTTCATGGCATATTTACATTGTCAGAACCTTCCCATTTTTCACATCTCTCCTTTATTAAGGTTCTACTTGGACATTTTCTTAATATAGAATTTATTCATATAGTTAGTACAGAATGCACAGTACAAAACATAGAAGTCTCCCTAATGTCTTGTTTCTGCTGGATCGTATCTGGATAGTTGAATGTTGGATGACCTGAACTGAAAATCCTCTCATTGTCCGAAAGGTGCTGTTGTAAACATCGTCTATAAGACTGATAAATCTCCTTATGTCTGACGAGGAGCCTGTTTGTTGCTGCTCTTGAGAACGGTTCATTTCAGTGCAAACACTGGCTTTTCTTATGCTTGCAGAACACTCTTGCCTGAGTTTAGTCTCTGGGTGATAAATTTTGTTTTGAAACAGGAATATTCCGGTTCTCTCACTCCCCTGAAGTTCACCCTAGTTTGTTAGCATCTCTCATGTTACTTGGCCGGATTTTTTTCCTCTGTATTTCTTTAACAGGGCAGTTTGAACTTTCTATTTGTGCTTATCATTCTCTGGAGTACTATATTCTTCGAAGTTGAGTTTATTATTATTAAGATTGCATTTTTTATTCTTTTGAGGTCTTTGTAAAAACTCTTTGTTTTCCAGAAATGTCTTAACGAGATGATTCCTTAAGATTGGGATAAATATTTCATTGCAGTTTTATTTCTTAGAAGCTCTTATTGCTTGTAACAAAGGGATTAAATTTTGTGTCAGTGTTGAGGTTGTGTCCGTGATGTGCCAATCATAACCATCACGGCTTATTCACAGACACAGTTCCAAAAGCAGGTATCAGCAATAGCTTATTTGTCCTCATATGCCTTGGGTGAACTGGGGTCATCAGTCTCATTAGTCCCAGTGCTGACCAAACAGTTGACGTGTGAATGTTGTATAGTCCTTGGTATACCAGAGGTGAAGCCTATTTTTAGGCCAGCCTGTTTAGGCACCAATACTTTGCCTAGTGTATGATGTGGCAGACAACCCAGCTTGCTTGAAGCTGTAAGAGATTTTTGACATTTAGCCTGACTTTCTTTACATGTAGAATTTAACCATCTGCCCTACACATCTCAATAAATTATTAAGGTTTCTGCCTTTGTCTTAGATTTCCGTACATGATCTCAGCTTAATGCTGGGTTCTTCTTTTACCTGTCCGAACACCTGTTTGTCTGGCTTATCGATGATGCAGCTGACATCCTAGTGTGAGTAATGGCAAGGACTTCAAGATGAATCCCAGTTGGGCTTTTAGATTAACAAATCTAAATTTCCAGCCTCAGTCAAATACCCAGTGCTACAGCAAAAGTGCTGGAAAAGTGAAACCTTCAGGAATTATAAAAATTTGTCATGCAGCAGGAACTTTCTGTGGTAGATGACATCTGAGAATTTGTGTTTCTTTGTGGTGGTAAGAGAGAACACTGCCTTTAGTCTGCGTTTGTTCCTTTTCTAAAGTTGTTTCTGACTGCAGAAGTGGTAGCATACATATTTGTGCAGAAAGAAGTATATTCTGAGGGCCAAAGGTATCTGACCATGCAATACATCTTTACAGAATTTTATTTTCCCTCGCACACCTGGATGCCTTTTATGTGTATAGTTTTGTGAAAGACTTTTTTTTTCTTCCTTCTATATGAGCTTTACTTTAAATCTTGAGCTGACATTTTTAATAGAAATTCAGGTTTTTGCATCTCAGTATCAGCTTTCAGGGTAGTTTTTGCAAGCAGATTTTTGCAAGGTTATTTCTTGCTGCTATAAAGTGCAACAACAGGCTGGAATTTTCTTATGACTACAGTATTGTCAGCTAGTGACATGTGGCAGGCCACTCAGGAATGGCTACTGCAGGCCTGTTTACATGAGTCTCCAGTGTCATGAGTTCTAAAGGCTGCTCAGCTTTTGAACTTCTTTTAACATCCAAGAATGAAAAATCCCATGAAAGCAGTTTCTAAAAAACCTGAATACTTTTTCCTTTATTGCACTGGATAATCTCAGGAGTAAACAGAAAAATCTCTTGTTCCTTTTTTGAGAAAAATGAAGCCAGCAATGGTCACAGGTAAAAGTTGATGATTTCATAATGTTTAAATCTTCTTTAGCATTTTCTCTTTTGATGCCACTTTTCTCTTATACTTAACAGTGTAAGTGTGAATGTAGTATTTTTCCACAGGAGCGTGAAGATTATTGTTCATAAAAGTAATTTGATTCCTTTTCTGTGTGATTATGTTTATCTTAAGTGTGTTATCCTGGGTTTTACTCTATAATTTGAAACTTCTTTTCAGCTCATGTCAAGAACAACCTTCTTTAATCTAAGGAATTTTTTTTTTACAGGGACTCATCTGCTAGCTCAATACGTGGTGGCAGTTCCTACACCAGGAGAAAATGGGAGGAAGATGTCAAGAAAAACAGTTTGAATGAAGGTCCTACATCATTAAACACAAGCTATCAGAGAAGGTGTGGGATTTTCTCTTACTTTTTTTATCAAAATAAACTTACAAATTAAAACAAACAAATAATCACTTTGTAAGGACAGTTCAAAACTGAACGTTGACATATGGAGATGTTCCTAATAATTGCAAAGTCTGTACTTAAACTGATGCAATGTACTGATTTTAAAGCTACACCATTTTAATTAGCTTTGAGTGTTGCAGGAACTGCTATGTTATTGAAATTATATGCCTCTTTTTCCTGTTGATTAATTCAGTTTGAGGTTCATTTGACTCTTTCCAGATTAGTTCAGTAGCCAAAGAGAATTGTTGTAAATGTTGGAATAGCAGTAATTGTGCTTGATACCTGAAATGAAAAGGGGAAAAACTTTGTCTCTGTTTAATTTTGGTTTTTTGCATGACAGTAGCAGAGGTCTTGGGCTACTCTCCGTAATGGTAGATCATAGCCATAACTACCTGGAGTATCAGCATCATAGAATGCATACGTAAAACTAACTCGATTGCAAAGTAAATGATGATTAATATGAAAATAATTTTCAGGTGTGTGTGATTCCTGTCTTACAGGATTTTCTCAGAAGGAATCACGTCCTGCACATACATACACGATCAACTTTACTCCATTGTGTAGTTTCAATGTAGCTGTTTGAGTAACATTCTTAACTGGTGTTAGTGGAGCAATAAATGTGTAAAATTAATAACTCAGAAGTTTGGCATTCAGATAGCTAAGCTGCATATTGATATGTGCTGCTAATACGTGTGGTGATGGGTACTTAACTTTTTTTAGTCTTGACAGTGATGTTGTCAGTGACATGTATTCAGGCTGTTTCATACAGCATAATCTGTCTGACATCTTTGTTAACCTCCTGCCTTGAAAAGCAAAGCCACTTTTCCTAACTTTACATTTAAGAAAGATGTTGCACGGATTTCCTGTTCAGGGTGGAAAATATCATAGCTGATATATGAGAACAATCTTTGCATGTTAGCTTTTATCAATTATTATGCTCCAGCCTTCAAACAAAATGTACTCATCACTTTTAAATTGCATGTGCTGCTTTAATGGTGTATTTCCTTAGCAGTTCTTATACAGGTATTTTTCTTTGTCATTTTAGGATTGGTAGTGATAGAAAAAATGATCAGTTGCAGAATGACAGAGAAGCAGCTTTTCTTAAGTCTTTTGCAGTTAGTAATATGATGCTCTGCCTGTCCTAACTGTGGATTCTGAGGTTTAGTCGTGGGCAAACATATCCTGACTTGGTAATGCAAAATTTGTTCAGCCAGAACCAATGAATAGAAATGTGGGAGCTACTGTATCTCCTTTACAACTTGAAGAGCAAGAGCAGAGCCTGAGTGGGAGGTTAATCTTTCTGAGAATGATTAAAGTTTAAAAAAAAAAAAAAGAAAAGCAGTACATTCAATTGGTTGAAAAATATAAGAGGAGCGATACTGGTGACATTTTCTTTTCTGACAAGCTGTGAAGTAGAATTCTGCATTTTCTGAGTTACTCAGTGTGGGTGAAACAGCAGTTTAAAAATGGGACACTGGGGGCCCGATCTGAATACTTCAGTAGATGCGATCAAGACAGTCATACATTCTTTATCTCTTCTTCTTGTGGGGAAATGGACTAAGGGACACTTCTGCTGCCCTCTGAAGTCATAAATTAAAAGTCCTAGTCAAGAAAATAGTGAAGAAAATGCTGCTTTTGTTCCAGAAGTTTCCGAGACTCAGCTGAGACACAGAATACATGGGCAGGAATTTAATGGATCATTCACAGTTTTATGTTATTTTCCTGAGCAAAGACAAGTAATACAAATCCATCCCTTGTACATGTCTCTCCTTCAGTGGCTCCTTTGGTAGAAGACAGGATGATTTGATTAGTTCTAATGTTCCAAGTACTGCATCAACAGTTACCTCTTCTGCTGGTCTCCAGAAAACACTGCCTGCCAGCGCAAACACTACTACAAAGAGTACAACGGGTTCTACTTCAGCAGGTGTACAAAGCAGGTAACGGCACCAGCACACTGCTTTTTGCCTTTATTTTTGTCAGGTCTACTGTGTGCTTATGTTTGTGCATGCGTTCTTGTTTAGTAGATCCTGGGGCTCTGGATTTTTTAACTTTCCTGTCAAATTTGTTTTAATACAATTTGGCTCAAAAACTGTGAATGGCTTTCTGCTCTAAAGTGACAGCCATGTTGGTATAAAGAGTAAATCCAATGTTAGAAGGGTGAGAAGAATAAACGTTCAATTATTGTGAACTGCTCAATTCTTAACTTACTCAATTTAATAGCTCAAGTTGAGCTTTCATAGTAGAGACATTTCTCAGTTTGCTTTAAAAAAAAATCCACCCCTCAATTTACATGTTACTAGTTGTTTAGTAAAGTGCTTTCATTGTTTAGCTGTTTCCTTTTCTCTTTTTTTGTGTTGCTGCTTGTTATGCTGTAGTACCTCAAATCGTTTGTGGGCTGAGGATAGTACTGAGAAAGAAAAGGACAGTGTTCCTACAGCAGTGACCGTTCCTGTTGCACCATCTGTTGTAAATGCCACAGCCACTACCACAGCCATGACTACAGCTACTTCTGGCACTGTGTCCTCAACATCAGAGGTCAGGGAGAGACGGAGGTGTGTAAAGGTCCTAAGAGTAATGTTGCTCTCAATGCAAAAGTTTTCTTTTTTTCTTATTTAAAGAAATGTGTTGGTTACCACAGATTTGGACAGTACAGTCTGTAAAGCAGTGTTGTTTGCTTGCTGTGTATTGGAACAACTAACAACGTGCCTCAATTTATGTAAGAGCTTAGTACGGGTAGAGACCATTCATGAAATCTAAACTTTGATATTGTACATTTTTGACTCGCCTTGGGTTCTCATTTGGTACGTGGTATTTTCATATTTGTATTTCTGTTAATAGATTAACTGAGTCCTCTTAAAAATATCCTTAATGAAACTATGTAAAAAAACTGAATTAAAAGTAAGAAAATCAATAATTAATTACTACAAGTACGTATGTACTGATTGAGCAGCTGTGCCACTGGCAGTATGCTTGTTAGTTACAACGTGGGGGCTTTTTGGTCATTTTGTATGCCTGGCAATACTGAAAAAAGACTACTGAACCCAACACATCCTGTTTATTTCATTGCATCACTTAGGGTCTCTTCTACTTGAAACATATATTCAGTTGTAAATGCAATGGTTTAAAAGCTATTCAGTATGAAAAATGAATAAGAACGTGATGTAAATCTTTTTTTTTCAGCCTTAGTCAGAACCATACCAAAATTTGAATGAACCTGACAAACCAAAAGCAAAACCAACAAAATGCATCTTTTTGTCAAAAATAGTTCAAATTTTAAAATGCAAATGCTATCTCAGTCTCATATGAGCTAGAAAAGCAAGGAAATCTAGAATTAAGGCTTTTGCTGTCTCGTTTGCTCTCACTAGTGTGTGTATACTAATGTGCATATACTACATATGTTTTAGATACCTGCAATTGGCCTGAAATTCGTTGTGTCTATCTGACTCTGGGCTGATTGTGTAATATGCTGTTGCAGATGCATTCTTGACAGCATATTAAAATACCCGTTAAATGTTAGAAATGAGCAAAACTGGAATAATTGCCATGTGCATGTGAGACGGTAGTGCTCTAAATATCAGCACATGTGTATTTATCTGTATAGATACAGATGCTTACATACATGTGCACGTGTGTATCTGTGTATATTTATATGCACATGAAAATTTGTATATGAAATAATACATGCTCAGTATTATCTTAAGAAATGAAGTTGGTTAATCAGTAATTTATAGACTGACAGTGTATATAGAAAGTATGTTTGAAATAGTATTTCAAAGAATATTTGAAAAGTAAAGACATTATAGACTGTTTTCAGTAGCAAAGCATGTAATGATGCATCCTTTTGGAATAGCTGTAGAGCTATATTCTTTATGTGATTTTTAGGATTGGTTTAGAGAAACAGTGAAGAGAATGACAAACTCTAATCTTTGAATCCTTGTATCATGAATAATACTGCAAAGGTAACCTTGTGTGGCATTTTTCAGGGCAATTTCTGATCTGACCGTAGCTGTAGCCTGCACCTGGCAAGCTGAGAGTTTTCATTTTCCCTCAGACGGGTTTATAGTATTTCAGATGTATTGGAGGACAGGAGTATGTGCACCAGTTACTAAAGAGCAAGTTATATGGAGTAATTTATAGCAGTTTTCAAGCCCTAAAAGTTACACCTGCACTGCAATCAAAACCTCCAAGGAAGATAGTATTTCAGGGCATGTAAGCTAAAGCATGTTTGTCTACTCTAATAGCCTTTTGGATTTGATTACCATTACCTGCTTACTCTGCAGGATCTTTGTGGGATTTCTTTTTAAGCACAGTTTTTTCAAGGGGATCTGGATTCCTCAAAGCATGGATGATTCATGTGAAAATAGGGTAACCACCTCCTCGAGGATTTTTAATCTCTGGTGCGATAGATGATATAATTAGATTTGCTGCTTTCACAATACATTTAGCTTTTTCTAAAAACCTACAAGTAATGTTAAAATTTGATACACATACATACACATATTTTATGTATAAATGTGTAACTGGCAGAATCTCTGAGGTCTTCTACTCCTATGTTGGTAGACTTGTGAAATACCAAAAAAGCTTAAGTTATATTGAGATGAAATGGTAAAAAGAAGTTTAAATGAAGTAGGAAAACACTGTCTATTTTAGTAGTGTTCTAAGGCTGCTATCTTGTTGAATAGATCATTATGCTATGGATGAAATGTCTGAAATGTAGTTTGCCTATATATAGTTAAAGATGTTCTTCTAACTGCTTTGGTTTTCAGTCATATTGTGCTGTGGGGTTTTATTTCTGACTACTTAGTACATTTGAACAAAAATTGTCATTCGCCAACTTTGTTTGTGATTAACTCTTTAGATCATACCTCACTCCAGTACGGGATGAAGAGTCAGAGTCCCAAAGAAAAGCTAGATCCAGGCAAGCAAGACAGTCGAGAAGATCTACGCAGGTACAGTTTAATTAAAGATTCAACGTTAATGGAAATGTACCCCTGTAGCTCCTTGAGGACAGTGAAATTTTAATTTTCCAGTAAAGATCCAAATAAACTGGTGGGTCTTCCTGGTATTAAACAACTTGTACCAGAATGAAATAAAGCCTCTTTTTTCCTTTTTTCCTTCAGTACCTTCACTGGGTGCTGAAAGTTGCGTTTTCAACCACTGAAGAGTAACTTAATGCAAATTTGAAAGCACAGACTCCTCCACTGAAAGGAAGTTTTTGATTGGATTATGGTAAAATGTCTTGCTCGAGTGGTTGTATCCGATGTGATGTGATGTTTAAATCTAAGACTTTGAATTCTTCAGGAATGAATAGCTGTATGCTTCTGGCTGAAGACTTAATGCTTGAGAAATAGGCATAGTAAATGGAAGTAAATCTTCCATTTTTGTGTCTTTTTTATGTGCATGGACTGTTGAAGATAATGTGATTGAGCTGACCAACATATGGGTAGCTAAGAAGAACCATGGCATAGAAAAAAATTCAACCTAGTTTCTGTGGAGATGGAAAAGTACTAAGGAAAAGTTTTTTGTTACTTGCTAATAATCTCAAATCTAACTGCGTATCTCCTTTTTTTTCTCTTAGTTTACATACTGATATATTTCTTTTTTCTCCCCAATTTCTATCAGAACTGCCTCATGCTGAATTGCAACCTGTGCCGCCCTAACATAGGGAAGGGTATGGCAGTAGCTAAATAGATTATCTCTAAACAGTACTTAAACACTCTTTGGGCAGTGGAGCAATTACCAACCACTCTCCTCTGGAGTGTGTTTATCTACCTCTTCTCGTGTCTGCTAACAAACTGAGAATAATCAGCAGATAATCCCTGGATAAAACAGCAGAAAGAAATACTCCGGCCATCATCCTCATCTGCTTTATGGCTGAGTCTGTATCTACACTGTTTACTGATGTTACTTGCAAATCTTTGCACTTTTAAACTCCTCAGATATTTCTGGTTACTTTTCCTATTGAGAGATCCATGCTGCTTGTTATAACTTTATCTTACTGGGGTTCTTTTTTACCTCTTGATAATAATGCAGAGCCTTGAGAGATGGTCAAACTCTAGGCCAACTATTGTCGAATCTCTAGGGTGAAGAAGATACCAGAAATTACTGTATTAAAACATTATCAACATGAAAGACAATTAAATAACTGATAGACTGCAAAGTCGGCTTTGAATAATAGATTGAAAAGTGTTTTGAGCAGTATCTCAGTAAGATACATCAGCTGAAAAGCGCAGCAGAGAAAAGCTGTCTTCAAAAAATTGTTTTCTTTCTGGGCTTATTTCAAAACTAGTTTTTAGCCTCAGAATAACAAGCAAATAAGAAATTAGTCGCAACTTTCTCTGATGCTATCAGTGCAGTTTTTTATGTGGTGGTGTGTAAAAATCAGTTGCACTGAGTGAATTTGTAAAGTATAAACGTTCCTGAAAATTCAGTAAGTGTTGTGTTTTTAGGGTTCTTTCAAAAACATTTAGTAGGCTAATGATGATATTGGAATGATCTGATGGGTTCTTAAATAATTTCTATATGATTTTCTATGGGATCTGTACATACTAGTCCAACTAAAAGTTGTGTTGCTGGAGAATCTGTGTCAGATCACATTACAGAAAACGCCACTAATCAAAGAGGGATGTTTTGTTGCAAGATCTGGGAGAAAAGCTTATAGGCAGAATATGTAGCTAAAATTTATTTCTTAATGGATAGAATTAATTTTCTTAAGCTGAATTTAAAATATGTAGTTATATAATGTGATCCTGTACATTAATAGGAGTGATATATTGAAACATTTGCTGGCTGCTGTTTTCACAGGGTGTGACACTGACAGATCTTCAAGAAGCTGAAAAAACTATAGGAAGAAGTCGTCCCACGCGAACCAGAGAACAGGAAAATGAAGAAAAAGAAAAAGAAGAGAAAGAAAAGCAAGACAAAGAAAAACAAGAAGAAAAGAAAGAATCTGAAACTAAAGATGATGATTATAGACAAAGATATTCCCGAACTGTTGAAGAGGTATTTTCATGATGGCTCTCTTTAGGTAGAGAAACTAGATGAATCTTAACTTCAACTGTAATGTTTTAAATTTGGTACTACTCTCAGTATTATTTATATATTTAAGTGTTTTGATATCCTGTGGTTTATATTTGTTTAACCTTGGTAAATTAATTTTGACATTTTTTCTGCTGAATAGCCATATCATCGCTATAGACCAACTTCAACTTCAACTTCCTCCTCCTCCACCTCTTCGCTCTCCACCTCCACTAGCTCCCTTTCAACTTCAAGTCAACTAAACAGACCAAACAGCCTTATAGGTATAACTTCTGCCTATTCTCGGAGTGGAACAAAGGAAAGTGAGAGAGGTAGGAGTACTGTTTGTGAAGGGGTTTTTTGGTTGTTTTAGTTGACAAAGGGCTGCTTATGTTTCTGTCATTAGGGATGTATTTTTCTCCCATCTTCTGTAAGAATATCCAAAACCCGCATATAGAGAGGAAAAATAAGATTCTGTACTTGGTGTTCTTCAGCCATTTAGTATATGAATCTGTGTTTTCCATTGGTGGGTCATAGATATGCCAAATATACTGCCATCAGTATCCACATAATGCTTTGTTTTCTGCTTTAACACAGCAACTATAATAAAATAACCACATTTCAGAGTTTAAATACTTACAGGTATCGAGGAGGAATTTTATTTGATTAAATAATTGCTAAATAACTGGGGTTTTGTTTCAGTACTTTCACACTGAAGGACAATGCTTCAGTGCTTTAAGGACCTCTCAGGGTTTCACAAGCAGCTAAAAAGAAAGGGAAGGAGATATTTCCAGTGGTAGTTCAGAATATTTAATGGAACCATACTTCTAGATGCTTAACTGGTTTACGTAATCTTAAGCTGAGGATCACCTGCATGATTCAGAGGTCAGGATAAAGCTTTTCTCTGATGTCACAGAATTTTTGCCCTTATTTCAAACATGAATCACCTGCTATAATGCTCAGAGATGTTGTGCCTGATTAGTTGCCTAATCATCATTTATTTAATTAGGAAAGGTATATGTTAATTTTCTTCTCTTCTGCTTAATTCTTGCTTCACGCTAAAATGTTTTTTACCTCTGAAGACTAGTGATAGTAAGCTTAAGTTTTTAGTGATGTTTCTATCTGAACTCAAATCTGTGGCTTCTTTCTTTAATAATAGAATGGCAGACTGAATAGACTGCATGATAATAGGTAAATAACTTTGAGCAGGTTTGTTTAGTTTGAGGTGTTTTTGGCACACATTACTTCTAGACACATAGGGGAACAAAGACAGTCATGAGGTATTATGTTGGTTTTCAGTTGCAATTGAATTTCTTTAAAGAAAAGGGAAATCTGTAGTACAGTATTAGTCTAGGAAATCCCATTTTATTTTTCCTTAGAGCAAACGTGGATTATGAAAGTGTGATGAAAAGGGGGACTCTAAGAAGGACTTAACAGACTTTTAAAAGGGTTTCTTTTAATATTGGATTCTTGATGTAAGCAAATAGAAAACATGTTTGATGGAGAATGGTGAAGAATTATCTTTTATTTTGTACTTTTATACATCTACTGACACAGATGTTTGAATTATTACGTGACAGTTTTGAAAATGGACTTTAAAGTCCAATTTGTAGTGTATTACTGTTACATTGAAATGTTTTATTTAGGTGGCTGAGATGGAATTAGTATTTTGCAGTTGCTGTTCAAGAATGGGAACAGTATTTAGAGTATTTTAGAGCTATATTCTAAGGAATGTCTATAACAGCAAACCCTGTATGTGGTTAGAAGCTCTTTAGCAAATTTATTTCAGGTAAAAAAATTAATTGTAAGCATTTTGAAGATTGAGAATTATTTCAAAAAAATTTCAGAAAATTAGACTGTGTCATACTTGAATGAATAAGAAAGTTGTTATTAACAGAAGGAGGCAAGAAAGAAGATGAAAAGGAGGAAGATAAGTCGCAGACAAAGTCTATAAGAGAAAGACGGCGACCAAGAGAAAAACGACGATCTACAGGAGTTTCTTTTTGGACTCAAGATGTGAGTAAACAACTGCTACTGCTGATTTATAGCCTTAGCTTATAGCAATATGGAATATGTATAGTGTGCTCTTTATTTTGAGAAGAGGTTACAGTAATACAGTATGTAACTAATTATCTGGAAAAAGTATTCTCTGTTTCTCTTCTTTGAAGCTTTCAGGAGCAAAATCAAGTCTAAGTTATGTTGATAGTGCTACATAGAATTTGAGAATACTGTAATAACCATAATTTAATAGGAATGAAAAATAGTCAAAGGATAAAGTAATCATTGAAGACTTATTTTGCATTGCATGCGTACCAAAGCTGTGAGAATGAGACTCATTATCTGGCGCATTCCAAGTACCCACGTACTTACAACTGAAAGAGCTGCTGTCGCTTTAGAAGGGCTATAGCTGATGTTTCAGCCCATTCCCTTTCCCTTTTCTTTCTCATTGGATCAGTATATACTTTGGTAATAACAAGATTTTCTTGTGCCAGAGGCAAAGTTCTGTTTCCTCTCCCAGTACTGAAAACATGTCCTTGTTTGAGAATTTTCATCATATATCCCATAATTGTCTATACATTTCAGTTAGGTAGAATTCCACTGCTCCTGGATTTTCATATTAAGTCTAGATTGCCCTAAATCTCAGAAAGCTTTCAGTAGTTTAATTATTTTTCCTCTCCCACGTCTTTCACCAGAGTGATGAAAATGAGCAGGAACACCAGTCAGATTCAGAAGAAGGAACAAATAAGAAAGAAACTCAGGTAATTTAAAAAAGATAATTAGTTTATTAACTTTCTGACAGATACATATTTATTGTAAGATTTCTGTTGCAGTTGGGTTTAATTAAAAGAGTACATACGGTAGAGTTCTTATGAGTGCTTTCTGAGTCATAATTTGTGGCCATGGTTCAGTGCCGTTTCCTTTGCAGGCTTTAATAACAATTTTTAACGTATTAACAATTGCTAAAATGGATGTTTTTCACTTCCATTCTGCTTGTGTAGAATTAGCATCCAGAAAGCATAGGTGAAATTTCTGACACAGGTCAGGGACATGTTGCAGCAAGTTACTGGAGGGAGCTTTCAGTTTTGACCTTGCAAAAATCTTTGTTCCATCTGCTGTGTTATTTTCAGATAAGTGATGTCCGGTGACTTACGCGTGCTAATTAAAACCTTTTAAAATTAAACCTGGTGCTGTCAATAATATAATTAACAAATAATTGAAGCATAGGAAGTTGAAGAGGACAGTGTACCTGATTTTTCCACTGAAGAAAATGGATCTCTGAACATCCTAATTCAGTATTACTGGTCTTGTTAAAAAGTCGGTGGAAAACCGTATCTAATAGACTTGGCTTGATGGAAAAAGTCCTTATAAACGGAATGGAGTGTGACAGTGGGAAGAGGAGACCTTAAAAGGGAAGTAGTGACTTAAACTGTAGTATGAAATAGTATAGCAGAATGTATTTCTTTTGACCTAAACCCTGGAGTAACACACTACAGAATCAGGTTCATTGCTGAAGAATAAAACTCTCCTTTTTGTAAAAACTTTTATTACACATTCCTTAAATACTTCAGTGAAGGGATTTATTCTCTGTAATTTTTGTTTGCTGTATTTTTTATTTCCATGTCACAACATAAATGTAGTCCTGTTTCCTTTCCTCCCGCTAGTGCATATCATTATCCTTAGATCTCCAATTACTCCATGTTCTGTTCTGTAGAAATTCAGGTTGGTAGAATGCGTATGTGGTGCTTCTGATAGAATTAGACTCTCATAAAACTGTGGCGAAATAGTGGTAAATCAGGCCCAAAATTATAAATATGATCTGTGATTAGAAAGAAGGGTGTGTTGGAGTGGGATTGTGGAGAAGTGTAGAACTGTGGCTTGATTTAGGAGGCAAAACATTCTCCTAGCCCGTATACTTCCCGCAAAAGAGGTCAGTAGTTTGGATTCATTATAAATCAATTTAATATCAGATTTCAGTTCATGAAGAGGTCTGAAATAAATAGAATGTGTGAACCAATTTCACTGTCACCGGGCTGCATAAATTGATTTTCCTTTGTTGATATAAGCTCTTCTGTCACATCAGCTGCAGAAAAGATGAAAACAGAGTGGAAGTGAGTTGAATATCAGAATAAGTATTTCATGTGTGTTTAAGTTTTCTTTTCAGATTTTGTCAAACCTAGTATGTAATTTCCAGTGTAGTATCAGAACTGTGGAAAATGTTCTAGCCTTTTAATTCCTGTAATCCTGTTAACTATGACCTATCATCAAGTTTGCGTATAATAATTTCATTCTTTTCATATTAAGGTTTTTTTTCTCCTTTGCATACAAATGGTTTATCAGGGATATAAAACATTATGTAGATTTCAAGTAACTTCCTCTCCTTGATAAACAACTGTTTAGCATTTGTCAATGATAAACTGAGAACTAAATATATTACTTTTGACAGTGCAGTATTTTACCACCTTAGAAGAATAACAGCAGAGTAGATCTTGAGCATTCTCATAGGCCACTTGTACCCAAATCCATGGCAAAAATTGTATTTTTTTCATTTTTTTAAATGCCTGAAGGAATTGCACTTTTGGCAGCTGCTAAATCTGCTTTCACTTTGACACAGATAGTGCATGCTTTACTGTAGAAATTCATCATTATTTAGGAAGAGAAAAGGAAAGATTTAGGAATAAACTAGAATTATAATGAAAGGCATTTTTTTTTAATTGATTATTTGATGTAGTGCTATTCAGGAGACAGAAACTTTGGGAATACTGACATTCTCTGTTCCTCCCTTATGTGGTGCTGCTGTATTTTTTTTGTTTGGTGAAGCTACAGGCCAGAGGTAAAGATGGTAACTAGCAACTTCCAAGGGCTTTGGCGGTAACTCAAGAATTTAAACTACAGAGAGGAGGTCAAGAGCAAGTCTTGCACATGGGCGCATGCTATAAAGAAAATTAAAGGACCTTAGACAAAATAACTTCTAGAAGTTCTTGGAAATATTATTTTCTTGCTCATCTCAGAGGCCTTTGAAAGAATTGTCTTGTAAAATTGCAGTTTGTTCTTGTTCTTCACAGCTGTCTTTTGACTTCTTCGCTGATCATTTGTCCAGAAAGGAGAGCTACTAAGGAGAAGTTAGACTCTGCTAAGCAATTTGACAGTCAGAGATTGTTCTGATGGAATTTTCTTTAGGCCTTTTAATGTTAAGAGCTGAGAATTTCTTCAGTTTGCACAAAAAATGCCATGTTAATTAAAGGAGATTGGTGTTACTGCAAGGAGGATAGTCTTAGAAGCAAGTTGAAGGGTAGCAGTTCAACAGTAAGGAAGTCAGAAGATCACTCTGGCAACTGAGAGATTCCAAGTAAAAAAGGGGTTTCTGTGCAGACTCTTTTTCAGTTTGATGCATTAAAAAAAGTACTACAACTGTGGTCTAGTTATAATTAAATGGACTGAAATTTTCTTTTGCCAGAGATCAGATATGTGACTTCAGAGGGGTGAAAGCTAGCAATGCTAAGATAATAAATGTCATTAGGTCTTCTAATTCTCTGGGAATAAACATGAGAAGCTGTCATAAATCATGTTGATTAAATGCTGTGCTCAGATTTTTTTCCTCAGTTTCACTGCTGTGGCAGTTTTACAGAAACACGGATTTCTAACAGTATGGAAAATTCCACCTGACACTGACATTTTATTTCCATTATCAGTAATTATCCTGACCTCACTAGAATGTAATGGGCCTGTCTAGAAGCTTAATGTACATTTTCAAATACGTGGTTTCTTTTGGGGCATTCTTATGGTCTGTATGGACTGATGGCATAGGGTTAGGTGTAAGTGTTATTTTGGGTTGTGTAGATAAGGACTCATATGGTGGCTGTCCTACAGTGTAGGTAAAAGTTAAAAGTATCAGCTTAGCATTTTCCTGTGTACGGCAT